AACAGCTGAAGTGTGTTGGTTTACCTACAGAAACAGCTGAAGTGTGTTGGTTTACCTACAGAAACAGCTGAAGTTTGTTGGTTTACCTACAGGAACATTCACTCTTCAGAAAAAGGTTTATAAGGTTTAATAGGTTTTATTTATCTCCATCATCCACGTAGATAACAACAAAAAGGATATCAAAATATTCCAATAACTCTCCCTATTTTTTTTGTCATTTGAAAGCATTGCTTTTGAACTATCTGGTTCTTCTCCCTTGGACAATTGTGTGTTGGAGCAGCAGCTTATCAATAGCTGAGAAGAAGGAGCTAGATAAGCTCATCAAGAAGGCCAGCTCTGTGCTCGGATGCCCCATCGACCCAGTGCAGGTGGTGGGAGACAGAAGGACTCTAGCTAAAATAACATCATTGCTGGTCAACGTCTCCCACCCCATGCACGAAGCTGTTTCTGAACTGGACAGCTCGTTCAGTGACAGATCACTGCATCCTAAATGCACAAAGGAGCGTTACCGCAGGTCCTTCCTCCCAGCAGCTGTTAGACTCTACAACATCACTGCTCCCAACAAACTCAATAAGGATTAAATACATGCTGACCTCTGCTGAAACACACACTCTGCCTATAATACTGTACTGTAAATAGTCTGTCCTTATCAATGTTCAAACACGTATTGAACATTATTATTGATATTGTTTGTCTTATTTCTTTATATATTGTATTGTTTATTAACATTTAGGAACTTTTGTGTGAAATCTTTTTTATCTGTTGCTGCTGTTGCTGTTGTTACACTTGAATTTCCCATCCGTGGGACAATAAAGGCTGTTTCTATTCTATTCTAACTTCCCCATTCACACTCAAGGTCATCTTCTGGATTTGGTCTGCTTCACTGGTCTCACAATCCATAACCTCTCTGACCATAACTTACATCTATCAGACCACCTTGCCATCACATTTGACATAATTATCCTCCCTACTGTACCCAAAACAAAACATGAAATAGTTTTCTACAATCTCATATCCATCAACTCTTCTGCTCTTTCCACTCTTGTCACCACCAAACTGGCAAGCTCCCCTTCCCCACTGACTGACAACCCCTCAGAACTAGACACCTATTACAACAGCAGTCTCTCCTCTTGTCTTGATGAGCTAGCCCCTATTAAAACCAAAACTGTCTCCTTCACCCACACTGGCCCCTGGTACACGTCTGAGCTCCATAAAATGAAATCCTGAAAGTGTCAACGTGAGAGAGTGTCTAAGAAATCTGCTCTAACTGTCCATCTCCAAATGTACACAGACTATATACAGAAATACAAGGATGTACTAAACTCTGCCTGGTCAAAATACTACTTCAATCTCACCCACTCTGGCTCCAATAACCCCAAATCACTTTTCTCAACTATCATCATGATTTAAAGCCCAATGACAACATTTCCTCATCCTTCAACATCACTAAATGCAATAGTTTTCAATCTTTCAGTCAAAATTGATAACATTGATAGTTCCCTTGATCTCGTCTCTGCTCACAAAGCTCCTTCAAATTCACCTCCCTCCAGCTCCAGCCAGCAGCTCTCACACTTCATTCCAACCTCCGCTGCTCAACTGACTAAACTTTTGTCTGGTATTAAAACCACCACCTGCTCTTTGGATCCCATTCCGTCTCCTCTCATTAAAAGTCGTCTCCCCATTGTCTCTTTTCTGATCACAAGAATCATCAACTCCTCACTTATTTCTGGATCTGTTCCACAGTCTCTCAAGTTGGCAGCCATCACCCCAATACTAAAAAACACCTGGTCTTGACCCTGATAACTTCATGAATTTCTGGCCTATATCCAATCTTCCCTTTCTGTCTAAGATTTTAGAGCGAGTCATAGCTGATCAACTTCAGACCCACCTCAAATCCAGTATCTTTTTTGAACCATTCCAGTCCGTTTCCATCCAAAACACAGCACCGAACAGCTCTTCTCAAAGTTACCAACAATCTCTTCCTTTCCTCTGATTCTGGCCAGCTCAGTCTCCTCATCCTCCTGGACCTCACTGCAGCATTTGACAGTCAGTCATTCCATCCTCCTCCCATCTCAAGTCCAAACTGAACATCAATTGCTCTGCTCTGTCCTGGTTTCAGTCCTACCTCACAAACCAGCAACAGTTTATTTGCATCAGCTGCTGCTCCTCCTCCATAACTCCTCTATCCCAGGGTGTTCCCCAAGGTACAGTGCTTGGTCCTCTCCTTCTCATCCTCTACATCCTCCCCCTTGGTAATATCATCCATCGTCATGGCCTCCATTTTCACTGTTACGCTGATGACATACAGGTTTACATTTCTACTACATCCATAAATCCCAACATCCACTCCACCCTCACCCACTGCTTAACTGACAACAAAATCTGGATGAAGCACAATTTTCTCAAATTAAACGTTAACAAAACTGACATACTCCTCAATGGTCCAAACAGTGTTACCAAGTCCACTCAAAACTTATGCCTCAACTTTGACAACATCACTCTCACTCCATCCCCACTCATTCGTAATCCTGGTAAGAATACCAAGATTACGAAGGAGTGGGGATGACTCCACTCTTTCATTCGAATCACACGTCAAACAGATAACTCAGACTGCATTCTTCCATCTCAAAAACAGAGCACGACTCCGCCCATCACTCACTTTCTCCACTGCTGGAATCCTAATCCATGCCTTTGTCAAATCCAGAATCAACTATTGCAATAGCATTTTGTACAGTACACCATCCAAAACTCTCAACAAACTGCAATATATTCAAAACTCTGCTGCCTGCTTTCTCTTCTCATCTCTTCTTCTTATTATAAAAAAGGTTAAATCGTGTCATCTGGACCAGTTTCTTTAAGTGAGAAACGTTTCATCCCCCATCCCGAGGACTTTGTCAGTCTGTGGCCAGCCAACCAGATCTGTCCCATAGGAAGGCTACTTATGGGACCCAGTAGCTCAAAATGAGACCTGGATTTCAGTCAAACTTACACAAGTCTCTTGGTAGCTAAACGTGGAGGTTTTTTTCTAATCATTTTTTCTTTCAAATGATTATTTTCATTATATTTCTTAAACTCCGTCCATGGTGGACTCCCTAGTGTTTTTTTTTCTTCTCCTGTACCGACCCGGATTTATGAGCAAGCTGCAGAGCAAGGTGCACTCACTAATTACTTCCTGCCTTTGGATGAACCTCCAGCAGTCGGCCGCTGTCAGCCGTGGAGCGTCCGATGCTGCAGCCTGCATGCATGCAAAACAAGTGTTTTAGCAATAAATGTTCACCTGTGCACATGACAGGTGAAGTTTTTGTTCTTTACATCAAAACTAGACGAGAGGCGAGACGAGAGGCGAGACGAGAGGCGAGACGAGAGGC